ACTTGTGTTACTACCTACTCTCGCCTTCACTTTCTCTACTACCAAGAACTCTTCTGATCCTCAACAAACTGTTTCCAGAGCCGACCTGAAGCAGTACCGGCTGCGGACGGACTCCATCACGCCGAAGATGGAGTTCATCGCGGACTACGTCATGAAGGGCAGGATCCTCGTGCTGCCCATTCAGGGGNTACAGGGGAAGGGAATCGCGAATATAACCATGAGTGAGTGTAATTATTTGCAATGACAAGGAGAATGACAAAGAGAACAAGATTGGAGCTTAAATTTCTTGGGAAATCCATCCACTATCAACGGTAAAAAAATATTGTCAAATTTTTTGAACGAAACGACTTCAAGAATAAAACTTTTAGAACAATAGACGGTCAACTTAAAAAAGGTATTTTGATTCTTGTAAAACATGAAGTAAGAAAATTGCTCATCATCAAGCAAATTCAATGAGGGTTTTCGCCATTTAAAAATCCGCCAGATGGCAATACGTAGACGCGAGGTCCAAATGCTGCATGATTGGTTATTTTTGACATGACATTGACAGATAATAATATGTCAAAATCCACCAATCACGCAGCATTTGGACCTCGCGTCTACGTATTGCCATCTGGCGGATTTTTAAATGGCGAAAACCCTCATTGGGGAGCAAGTTTTGGACACATAATAATATTTTAAATTAAATAATACAACTGTTGGCCCGCCATCCTGATGGTTTCAGATATCCTTTTCTTGAATATTTTCTCATCCTCTCCCTGGGTTGTCTGGAATATCTTCCACGGCTGGTCTTAGCAATAAGGCCCGGTTTCCTCTATCACCATAAATTCACCCATCTTACCCTGAATTTTTCAGTAAACCTAGTAGTCAAGCACGACCTGGTCGGCGAGCCGGTGGTGCGCGATGGACAGACGTACATGCACATCCGGGACTACAAGGTCAAGTTCATCCCTCAACGAGTGCTGCTCAATTTCTCCAACCTGTTCAACGGGGACAAGAGGCTGGGCGACCAGATGAACATGTGAGTATTGATAGAAAAGCACAGATTACATCTGTTTCTTTATGAGAGCGAATCAGAAATGAGATCCGTAAATGGACTAAATTCGCTGATATAGCCCGACGGATCGGCAAGCTGAAGTGGTGGTAATGGCACGTAGTACGCATAACAGACGGCCTATGGGGCAGCAAGGTTCTGAAGCGAAGGTCATACCGACGACACCATAAAGGTAGCAGAAAGGCGCTGGATAAGGTAGTGGGTAGTAGGTAGGCCGATACCGGGCAATATGGAGATCATTGGGGGAGGCCTATGTCCACTGTACCATCAAGGAACAGCCAAGGGTACACAGGAAAACAAGGGCTGTGGACGAATGAAGAAGATGATGATGAAAACAGAGGTCAGGCCGCGTGGCCTCTATTATTTGTGGCACCTAGCAGAAGTCGTGGATTTGAATCCCAGCTGCGTCAGTTACCCGATGCTCACAGTAGATTTCTTAATTTTGAGACTAGATGGCGCAGTGAAATATACAGGGTGGAATTTTGTAATGCCACCTGGAGGGTAAGTACTCTTAATACTGTAGATAGAAAATTTTACTCAAAGGAAACATTCGTTTATTTTTGAAAAGAAATAGAACTGCATTCAAAAATTTCTAAAAATTTGTTTGCCACACCCGGGAATCGAACCACTAAAATTTGTTAAAAATTACACCCTGTATTTTTATTGCATCGATCGTAAGGGGTTAAGTAAAAGGATGAATTCTCTCTAACAAACTTGATAAATCAAATGAAAGGAAAACCATGAAATCTTGAGTTATTTTCATTATGTACAGAAAATTGTATGGTATGGTAGGGAATTTTCTAAAATTTTTCAAAAATCTTTGAATGCAGTTCTCTTTCTTTTCAAAAATAAAGGAATGTTTTCTTTCAGTAAAATTTTCTATCTACAGTATTAAGAGTACTTTCCCTCCAGGTGGCATTACAAAATTCCACCCTGTATATTATGGTAGTGTCTACTGAATTCCTTTTATTTTCACAGCTTTTTGAACGAGAACTCGGAGCTTGTCTTCAACGAGCTGAAGGAATCCTACGAAAAAAGCCTTAGTTCAGTTTTCCAGGACGTGACGAATAAAATATTTGACAAAGTGCCCATGAACAAAATTTTCATTGAGGAATAAGTGTAAAACTATTTGTATTTTTAGTGTCCTGACTATTTATAAAATTAATTTAGGAATGATAAGCATAGGTTAATATTGCAACCTGCTTTAATTAGTATACGTAAGAAATAAATTTTGTACAAATCATTTGCATTTCGTTTTGATTTCACACGTGATTTTCTCTGTTTTGAGGTTTCAATCTGTTATAGTGACATCTGGTGGCGGCGATATACATCTTTAGTAGAACGATTAGCGCCATCTCTTATTGTGTTCTCGAACTTCTTGCTACTGAGGTTTACAAGTGGTTTATGCGAGACGGTATGGCGTCGCCTGTGCCATGGTTTCTTCGTGGTGCCCTGGTTATTGTCTTTGAAGGCCTTCTCTCATTCAGCTCGACATCTGGTGCTTCTTCATTTGCTATACGTCTAGCATTCTTCATACATATCGACTTGCAGAAGGCCTCGTTTATTATTATCACTGCAAAATGAATTTTATTTAGAAACGTTCAGTGTCTAATTTTTATTTTATTCTCAGACCAGCATTAGCTCACATATTTATTTTGATGTTTAATAAATTGAGTTATAGTGAAAATTAAGAAAGGTTACTATATTTTAATATGGTATTATTTTATTGTTGGGAACATTAGTAATAAAACAAAGTGAGGGTAGATGGATATTCTTTTTACATCTTGTCAACTGTTCAGTTGTGCTTTATTCTTACAAAAGCTTCATTTATTTCAGAAAAAGAGAGAATTTTCGCAAAATAAACAAGGGTCTTGGTAAAATTCATAATATGAAGGCAGTATGAAGAGTAAATAAGTGTGGAAGAATGTTGTGTGAAGTTGTGTGTTGTCAACACGTATCAAGGAAAAGTTGCACAAGATATAAGAAGGGCCAGGTAAGTGTCCTAACTTGACATAATAACAAGACTTGACATCATAAAGGCAGCAGGAGGTGCTGGACGTAGGCCGCTACCAACCGGTTAACATGGAAATCATTGGGGGAGGCCATGTTCAGCAGTGGACGTTCTATGGCTGAAATGATGATGATGATGATGACGCAGATCAAATCTGATTTATTGTTGAAACCGTGTGTGCCTAATAATACACATTTTCTCCTATTTTGCCCTTTAAAGTACGCAAATTTTTATCTGCCTTTATTACAATCATGATGAATGTAGGCTCTGTCTACTCAATAAGGATCACCACCAAGACCCACCACTTGAGCTAAGATCGAACCAGAACCTCCGCGAAAAGAGTTAAGAGACTACAACTTTTTAACCACAACACTTAACATCTAAAAATCTTAATAAATATGTAAAATAGTTAATATTATACTAACGTATGCCCACTAGAAGTAAATACAGGACTAGCCCCAATAGGATGGCATCCAGCTCCATAACTGGAACACAATAAAACATTATTAGAATACAATAAGATGTCATTCATTATTCATTTTGCATTTAACAAGTGTCATTTTTTATACATAGTTACTTTTGTGAAGCCTCAATGTAACCTTGTTGAATGTTGGTGTTCAAATAAATGCCTAAATGATAAGTATAATTTTTAAACATGTTACATTCAAAATGTATGTACGGGCAACGGAATATCAAGCTAACCCTTTAGCATTTTACCTAATATAGGGTGTTATTTCCAACAAAATTGGAAAGTCGCATTGGGTAGTTATTGACTGCCTGTCCACTAACTTTATAAAAAATTTAATGTGTAGGTATTATGCAGACCGCTAACAACCGGGCAACGTGGAAAGCATTGGGGGAGGCCTATGTTCAGCAGTGGACGGCTATAAGAATAGAGCTGAGATGATGATGATGATGATGATGATGATGACGAAGTATTAATATGCATGCTATTCACAATTTATTTACCAACGTAATTAGTGTAATACAAGTTTACTACCTATAAATAATGTAAAGTTTTCAGACAAATAAAAGAAGCGACAAGTGTACCAAGTGTACAAGAATCTATATTTTAATAATAGATGGCGCGAAAAAAACTGCAAATACACACTACCTTAGCAAGAACCACTTAATCCTACAAAACTGAGCTTGAATTTATCTCTATAATGGTCAAAAACTTACTCCTTCAACACCTCGACCCTCTCGTGGCCCTGATTAGCCCTCTGATGGACAAATAAGCGGCGAAGAGGATCAAGAGGAAAAACGCTGTCTCCCAGAAATGTGCTACGAGGACCCTGGTGCTCATCCTCCGGTGGACCTTCGGGGAAGGTGCATCAGGCACAGGTTACAATCAGGTCACGACTTGGTCATTAGGGTGGTTTTTGTTTGACAGCGTGACATTGACAGAAGGATGAACTTCTTTTTCTTGAAAAATGTCTTCAACGAAATAGGTCTGGCATAAATTGTGAGGTGATTATTGTTTTATTTATTTTTTGGTGTCATGTAAAATAACCAGAATGAACGCATAATAATTAATGATTACACTTTATTTTGATTACGAATTTAAGTAACTTAGTCAAAGTTTTACTTCACAAATATTGCAAGCAATGAATCTTATTTGAGCAAGTTTGCTTATATAAAAACTGAAGGCATTATCTATAACTATGCTATGTTCAACATTTGCAGGAGCCCTCTGTAACCTACTGGGGGGCCCTAGACATTTAAGGATCGAGGGCCGCCCAGTAGGTTACAGAGGGCCCTAGCAAATGTATCCTTTAAAAAAATACTGTAGAACTTTTCGACGATATTTCTACAAAAATATTATTTACAGGTTACTTGCCCAGAGTGTCCAATGGGAAAGAAGGGTCTGTCCTTAGATTTTGTTTAGGTTTTTATATCACATAGTATAAAAAGACAGGAAAAGAAATAACAAGAAATGTTTTATAGGTTTATTCAGTGAAATATAACAATTTCTATGGCATAGTCACTGGTAACATTATGTCGAAGAAACAGTAACTTAAACTAAGATCCACTTAGCCTCTAACTAATATTTTTATTTCATTGTCATTTTAAGAAAACAGATCCAAAATAGCTCCTTGGGGAGCTCCAACTGTTAGTTTTTTTAAATGACAATGTAATAAAGATATTTACCACGACAGCGAACACTGCTTTAGCTACTGACTGTCCTCAAATTACATTACTTATTTTAATTAACACATTTGAGAACATTCAAGCACCATTTAGCAAAATATAGCGGTCATTTGCCTTAGGGTAATAGAAAAACTATTTTATTTGCTTCAATTATGCACTAAAAACTTAAAACAAAGTTATGTGTTACGCCAAAATAAAGGCAAATGACCTAACATTAAAGTAAAAGGTAGAGCATTATAACTAACAGTAGAGATACAATATTTTTGAATAATTTTATACGTTAGACACTTAACATAGATGTTTGAAAGAGCGTCATCGCCTAAGATTTACAATGAGTACGCTTGACTCGAAAACTTCTATCATCAATTTAATTAAATCATTAAATTATCCATAGCAATGATTGAAGAATCGTACGTCCTACAACTATGCTAGCATCGGACGGTTATATGGCATTCATTGAGTCTAAAACTTTAAGCTTGTTAAAACTGCAAGTGAAAAAATATTTCTTCTTAATTTTAGTACTTCTACGTATACTAAAATGAGGTATAACGATGGATGTTTATTGTTCAAATTCATATGCCATATGACCTAGAATTTTGTTTATCCTATTTAGTTAAAATTTCAAAAACACTACGGATATTTTATAAGCTCTAACCTTATCACAACCTACAATCTGAAAATTAAAAATTGAGATTACTGTGCGTGTAACATTGCCAATTTCCCCGGCTCTATATTTATGGAATGGATCGATTTCTCAAATAAATGCATTAGAATGCGTCTCCGGTTTAAATTTTAGTGTTGAACCAGGCCGGGATAACTTAAAACTAAAACTTAAAACAAAACTAACTACAAAAAAATTCGTCAGCTCGGACATTATACATTAAAAACTAAAACTTGTCTTGTTATAAAACTTATCTACAGCGTATCATCTTCAATAAAATCAGCTGTAAATACAATAAATGATCTACAAATGGTTGATGATTTTCTATAGTCAGTCATAGATCATGTATTGTATTACTAGTATTTGCAAAACTTAGCAAATATCTATAAACATCGTAATCATTGTTACAATATAAAATAACTAACATAAACTAACTTTTCATCGCTTAGCACCATCTTTAGCTGAATTTTAGAGCGAAATAATAATCTTAACAACTCTTCATCCTACGTTTTCAAACCATCATAGTAATCAAACTACAGATGATGATGATCATTTATCATCAACTTACGATGGATTAGAAGTTGTAACAGTTAAGGTTAGTACAATTATCTAGTCAATAGATTAATTAGTACTAATACTAAGTTAGTTAAGACATTCGATTAACTACCGTTAAAGGTACTAAAATTCTGTCATTTATATCATTTTAAAAATGCCTAATCACATCTACATCTAATTCCACAAAGATATGATTATACTATTCAATATAGAAAGATAAATAGACCTTAATATAGTTTTAGGCAAACTTGATGTTTGTAGATTATATCATTAAAAATTGCCTCTAAATAATTTTAGACAGTTAAAAATCTCATAAGTATGCCACGAAACTTCGAATCCTGGACCATCACACATCGTCCACATACCCTAATTTTATTGCCAACCAATCGGAACTTCAGTTATCACTTTCAGGATTTCAAGAGTTTAACTTTGTGACACTACACAGTCGGTGAACACCAAATCACTGGACGTCACGCAGCTTAGTCTTTGGGTCACTTATCACTGACTTCCTCGCTATCCTCCGAGGTTCCTTGTCATTGGAACTGCGAGGTGGACGTAGACCTTCGGCAACCGATCGACACGGGCGCCGGTATCCGCGAAGTGCCGCCATTCCTTTGGTCTTTCCTAGGTGTAGCTAATTGTCTAGTGCTCATTGACCTTTCTAATTTCCCATCTGACATAACCCAGGCTGAGGTGAAGTCAGCATAATCAGAGTCTTTCGAGCTGGTCCTTGACAAGGAATCATTGTCTCCTTTAGAATAAGTCCTAATGATTTCCTTCATCTTCTCCAAGACCGCTGCGTCGTCTTTCGCATTTTCTGTGGATCTTAAGATCGTTTCTAGCAAAGGACTAAGCTGTTTCTGGTTTGGTGGTGATCTGAGAGTGGCGCTGCTAGCTCGGAGCGGAGAATTTCTCTTGAAGGCCTCTGATTGGATAACAGCTTTGACTCTGGCTTTAGGAGATTTGTTGGGATTCTCGAAGGTATCAGCTCCAATGGTAGGTCTGGCTTTAGCCTTAGCTTGGTTAGGAGCAGTGCGACCGCTCCAAGTGTTCCTAGCTGCAGGAGGGAGTTTAGGAGTCAGCTTGGGCGATGTCTGAGCAGGATTAGCTACGTGTTTGGGACTTGGTGTATTCCCACGGCTTGGGGTTCTGTTCCTGACTGGTGAATGGGGAATACGACTGGCTTGCCGACTTCTTATTGTCTTCGTGGGGGATTCTATCGCGTCCCTTGATGGTCTGAGGCTTTTGCTGGGGGAATCGTTATTCTCTGTGATTACGATTCTTTCAGGGCTACCTCTGTTGCTCTTGTCTTCGATAGAGCCGGGTTTCTTGCCCCCGTAGAATGTGTCGGAGAAGTCAGTCTTTCGGAGGCCGGTGGAGAGGCTCACGTAGACATCTACTCGTTCGTTTCTGTCCATGTGACAGCCATCATCTTGGTCGAGACGCTCTGAAATTAGAAAAGGGAAAATATTAATATGTTTACTTCATTTATTGATAAAACTAGTGGTCATGTTGTTGTCACACAAGAGCTATTGAATTTAAATCTGGGTATTATTTATTCTTCATAGAATTTTCTAATAATGGTTTATGATAAATAAACATAGTTTTGTCACTTCATCAAAGTATAATTCATTCACACCATAAAAGTATACAGCTATAAACTGCGATCTTAGCTTGATATTAAATTATACACGCCTAATAAATAAATGTCTTTGTAATTCCAATCCATACAAATTAAAATACCTGATACCCGCCACTTCCATTTTAGAAGTGTGGATAATAGCTCAGCTAGATTATTTGAGTTATTTAATTGCTGAAGTTGTCTTTCCGGGTGAGCCATAATGCACAAGCTAGTCTATCATTTATTGCCATAAAAGTACAGTGACTATTAAATCGAGACCTTCCCATAGTTATGAGGTTATGTCTAATAGGTTTGAAGTCTATTTTTGTAACAAACGACTACAATAACTTAGAAAAGTTTTACAGATGTATCGCGTCCAGAAATTTTGGGATCAAAGTAAAAGTAAGGGTGTTGCCTATTATTACAGCTTCGAAAATAAACAATTTGTTGTTCAGAATCGTCTATACTTAGAACAGATTTCTAGTTGTGGAGTGGAAACGTGGAACGCGGTCGATAAAAAGATTGGTGGTCTAGTCACACTTGATTACCTAGTTATTTTACCTATTTTTCGAGCTATCACAATAAAATTAGCCAGGGCCTGTACGTACCTATTTACTTTTAGCCTAAAGGAGCTGTCAGCTCTAAAATTATGTAGGTACTGAAAAAATGCAATTTTACATTGTTGACTTGACTTGCAAGCTTGCTCAATCCTTTCCAGGTCTACGATACATTTTGATAGTATACAGATCACATTCAGGGCCGCGATATAATGCATTCCGATATGTCATTGTACGTTTCACCATACATAGCCTCGTGGATCAAATTCGTCAGCGCGCGCGCAGCTATCGTTCGTTTTAATATCACACCATATTCGGCGTAGGTGTCGAACTAATTCAGGGCTGAGGCTGACCGATCTCTTAAGGTATTGGTTCAATTTTTTTCCATTAGTTTAATCATAAGGGCCTATACTATGACTAAGAGCTGTAGTTGGTCACGCTTCATGTAGAGTATTCTGAATTATAATGTGCCCCAGGAGGCACATACTTACTTACAGTAATCCAATTCAGAGCCATTGTTTTAAAAACTTTTGGTGCTTTTATCCAAAGAGTCATTGAAATGTAGACGATAGCCTATAGGTTTAAGTCTTGTTCAATCTCCGTCCACCGCAGGACTGGGCTATTGTAGTGAGTGAACGCATGTTATAACACAAACTTAGAGAAATTAATGGGAATGTCTTATTAGTAAGTACGAGAAGTATGTTTAAAAATGCTTCTTTTAGACACTTTGATCATGGTAAGTACCCTTGAGGTCTGGCGAAGCATGTTTACTCTAAGACATCAACGTTGAATTTTGGATGATAAACGAACTACACGGGACTATTCCCACGTCTCGTTCCCACCGTTGCAATTGCTGTGTAGCCAGGATCTACAGCTTGATCACCAATAAAAAACCAACCAGTAAAGGTCAAGTTTGTCCCAGGGAAAAGTTAAATTTTCATAATCACTCATGGTAAACAAATCTTTCCGTTGATACGCAAAGGGACGTCAATTATTATGATTTGCTTTTTCTCCTCAATTTTATAATTGCTCCATTATAATTTTACCAGCCCTACTTAGAGATGACTCGGTCACATTGTCAGCTATCGGCCGCACCATTTACGTCAGGAATGTGGTTGCTACTAAAAAGGAGAGCGAAGCCAGGCTGACCTGGCTAGCGAGGCGATCCCTTGCGACCTTCGGGCTTTGTCCTTCAAATTCTAATTCTTTATTAGTTACGTTCTAAGCGCACTAAAACACATCCTTATTTAGTTAGTCCTACCACTTTCGTGGCTACATGCATACCTAAAGGCTGGCGCTAAGAAGTGCCCAAAGAAATTAAGTTACCATCGTATTCGAGTGTTTTCTGCCTAAATCTAAACTATTTTTTTTTTAATGATTGCGCATAACTGCTGACGTTTCCATGTCTAAGCCAGTGAATCAATTTTGAGACCTACAGGAAGAATTAAAGTGATCTAAGAAGAAAGACATAAATATAGGTACTCGTATTTTTCTGCAAAAAATATCTGAAATGAATGTAATATGGCGATTCCCCATCAATTTCCCCATTGGGGTGAAATTGAATTGCGAACAAATGACATCGCATATTTTTATCCATGGGATGATTTCAAAATGCTGGATACATTTCGTGGACAACTATGCTTTCCAACTCAATTTATTTATTTACTTTACTTGTATTGCAAAACATAAATAACAACAAAACGTGAAGTGTTTTATCAACCTTCGCAACATTTATCTGAGCATCGAGTATGACAGAGCAATCAGGTTTTCACAATGCCTCACATCTTTAAAGTATTGCTGAAGACCACTCGAGAGTCATAACACTTGACATGCTCTTTGCCTTCGGTGCAAATAAAGAAAGGATTGATGCAGAGCCGGACTGCGCTCCCGTGGTGGTCCTAAATTACATTTTTATTACAAAATACTACGAGTAGGTATATGATGTTATACTATAACAGCTTACTTCTTTACTACATACAGTGTTTGATAAGCTAACAATACATCCACCTTCGTCCATAGATCTGTTAATTGGAGCTCTTTTCACCAACCATTCTATACTCCGATTTGATCTGAATCATATTTAACGTTTCATTCTGTTTCTATTGAATTCAAACACTTAATCTAGTAGTTACAAAATTAGATTATTTTAATCAGAGTTTGGATTCCAGTTCAATATTGAGTATCATCATTAGCGATTTGAATCAACCTTCCTTCTCTTTTCATAAGAGAGAACTAGTAGTTTTGCAGATAATTATAATATCTTGTTTAGAATACGTATACAACTAAATCCATTAGTGGCGCCAGTCAACGCACACCAGGCTCTAAATACGTCCCTGTGTACATTACTCCTAACAATGTGATCCTTGCACCATTTTAAGTGCACTTACTGTTCCACCACCGATCTTTCTCCAAACAACACATCTTATTCCCAACCACACATGGTTTAAAATTGTTCAGCAAATGAACATTGTGGTAATGGACGCAAATATGCAAAAGGACTATATGAACGACTGAGTCAGCGAATTTGATGAAATGCATATCACGTGTGGTACTATAGGACCATCTGCATTGAATTTATGCCATCGAAAGTGTATTGCATTCTTCCTGGACAGATATGGGTGGTTAATGAGTAATATGACGTTTTATAGAAGCTATTTGATGGTATCAATGAAAGTTTAGTGGTTATTGTATGGTTGAATGGAGCTTGGTACTTGACTATGAATTGTAAGTTAGATTCTAGCTAAAGGAACAGGGATGCTGGGTTCGGTCTCTAAAAGCTAAAGGTCACTGATTGACTGACTCACTCATCACGAAATCTCAGAAACTACAAGTGCTAGAAGTCTCAAATTTTGCATGGGTGTTCCTTTTAGCACGTAGGTGCTCACTGGAATTTTGCAAAATTCAATCCCTGAGGGGGTAAAACGGGATCCACGCGTACGAAGTCGCGGGCGGCCGCTAGTTTGTTATATTTGGCAGGTGGGGAATGACAGCACATCCATGTAAAGCAGCACCTTTATGTATTTGTTATAGGTGCCCTTTTCCAAAAAATATGTAGCCTGATGCCCTGTCGCCTGCAAATTGCTCACGCACGTATTCAGAAACACTGAAAGCGTTATTATGTTAGTTCTACACTTCTTCAGTCCAAAAACAATACTTGCTCTACATTCCAGAGCGGAATGTTTTCGCAAAATTCATCTACATAACACTATGCCCGCATTTTAGAAGATTTCGCGACATTTTTGTACCGGATAGTAATGTTGAAATGTCGATATCGATGTGTCGATAATGTCGATATTTTACTTGATTGTTCAAAAACATGGCCCTAATTCAAGCAATCATGTTCATGCATCAGTCAGCAAAAGTAATGAAGCTATTTTAACGATAATAAACCAAAGATTTAGAAATAATTTGCCAAACTGGCACAATTTATGGAAAAACCGTACATCAAAGTCAAAGTAATATTTAGTGACTGTGACATCTTTTGCAGTTTTACTAGAATCTATGTTTCATTAAATATGTAGGTATTATCCGATGTGTTGTCACCGTTGGTAGCTACATCACAAACATCGAGCATGACGTCTTTTACAGTATCTACCATGAAATGGGTCGACCATTACTCAGATTTTTATCGATATTTGCACAGCACTATCAGCTATTGTGCGGTCATGAGCCATATGTGCAAATA